CCCCCCCCCCCCCAGTACACGACGAGGCGCGTGTGTGTGTAGATGTGGTGTGTCCCCCGGTTGTTGGCTGCTCAGGTCAGCTCAGCTCAGCTCACGTGCTGCCCGTGTCGAATATGACATTCTCATATTGGCCGGGGGCGCTCGTGCCCACGCCTATGGGGCCGATGTACTGATTCTGAAAACCACACACCCACACAAACGTTTGACACAGATGACGGCGCCTCTCACTCCATCCATTTGATGTGATGTGACTTACATCTCTGACGTTGTTGAGGTCCACCTGCACCTCCCCCCTGATCTCCGTCTGGTTGACGTCATACGCCGCTATACGCCGACCATACCTCTGATGCTGATGCTGCGCACCCTCCCCACCCATAGCGTCGTCAAACTCCCAATCACGCTCAGATCGGCCGCCCCGCCCCTGGCTGAAGATAATGGGCTCGCTGTCGAGGTCCTCACTCTCACTCTCGTCGCTCTCATCACTGTCCTCATCTCGGCTGCTTCCGTGGGATCGTGACGATCCCATCTGTAGGTAGAATGAGTGTGGGTCGAAGCTGTCCGGGAGGACTGTGTGGCGGGTGTGGCCGTTGCGGGACTCATAGCGCTGCTTGGCACGGTGGTGCGGGAGGCGGCCCATGTACCGCGGCTGAACCGTCAAGGCCAACGTGTGCTGCACACATACACGCAGGCACACACACGTGGTGAGGGAAAAGAGAGAGATTCGCGTGTGTGTGCATGGTATTGCTCACCTCTGGCTCATGTTCCGGGTGCAGGCAGACCTCACACGAGCTGTCGATGAAGCTCACAGCCTGCCCTTCCCGATACAGGCACTCAGAGCAAGACATCACCGTCCCAGACCGAGATACCGACACCGTCCCCTCACACAGGCCCGCCAAGCCACACATGAACACAGCCACTGATGCGACGATTGGCACCCACAGGCCTGGGGGCTCCTTAGCGCCGCCTAATGCCGACGCTGCCATGCCCGATATGATGCCACCGCGCTCGCTTCAGACGCTGACGTGAAGAAGCTTTGCAGAGCGGATGAAGAATGAAATGGCCGAAGGGTACCGAAAAGGGATGGGGGCGTCGACGGAGGGGCGATGGAAGTCGGCTGCTGTCACCGTGGCGAGGGGCTGATCCCCCTTTTTCCACTTGTGATGGGCGACGTCCCTCGGCTGTCGGCTCAGTGCCGCATGCAGTCAAACTGACGATGCAGGCGAGGCACTGATTACGTCTTGCGTGACGGAGTCCTTCTCTCTCCTTTCATCAAGGCGTCAAGATCGCACATCAGCTCACATTAGCTCGCAAAAAAGGGAGAAGAGGAAGGAGAGAGGAGAGGAGTCCAGAGGGCACCAGTCGCACGTGCAGGGCTACCCAGATCTGAAATCGAGACGGAGATCCGCTGTTAGTCGGCTGGGAGTATCTCGTGTGTGGTGTGAGGATGAACTACGCCAAGAGCAGGCAAATCGCCAGCCTGCGGCAGATGGTGCCATCAGGTGCGACCACACAGGCACGCCAGAAGATGCTTATGCTTACCTTTGGCTCATACATGTGTGTGTTGTGTTGTGTGTGCGTGTGTGTGGTTTGGCAGCGGTGTGTCTGCAGCCCGACGAGAGTCGGTGGCAGGTGCAGCTCGTCAACCAACAGTTCCACACCATCTGCACCCTACAAGTGTAAGCCACAAAGCAGAGGACAGCCACGTGGCGTTCGTCACACATTCTCACGCTGCCTGCCTGCCTGCCTGTATGTCTGTCTGTCTGTCTGTGTGTTGTCCATCCTCCATCGCTGTCTGTCAGGCTGTTGCCGGATCAGTTCCCCTCGGTGGCTCCCCGGATCTCTGTCACAGAGCGCCTCGAGCACCCATGGCTCAACGCAGACCATGTCACTGGGTGGGTGGGTGGGACATCATACACACACACGCGCGGACAGGCACAAGAATGACGTGCCGATTGCTTTGTCGATACTGCGTGCGTCCGTCCAGTCATCCCGCCCTCCGTTCGTGGAACCCCCACTGCCATCTGGGCACCGTGGTGTCAGAGATCGTCAAGGAGTTCACCCGCAACCCACCCAGACACACGGCCGGCCCAGCCACGGCGGCGGCTGCCATCCCCTCGCGAACCACACAACCCGTGGGAGCAGCCAGGTGGGTGTGTGTGAATGAATGAACCACCCAGCACACCAGCAAGAACCTCCCGGTGTGTTGACTGAGTGTGTTGTCCTTCCTGTTCGTTCGTTGATTCAGTTCGGACCGTTCAGTTGGCGGTGTCCAGCAGCCTCCCCCGCCCCTCTACGGCCAGAGCGTTTCGCCCCCTGGCACGAGCGGCCCCTCCACGCCCTCCAACCGGCCCCGCACACCACTCCCACCATGCCCAGCTGAGTTCGAACGCGTCAAACAAATGAGGTAGGATGCGGTGCGGTGCGCCGATCAGTTTTGGATGGCATGGCAACTGTGTGTGGACGGATGGTGTGATGGGTGTGGATCGTCACGTCAGTTTGGCCGAGTTGGAGTTTTACAAGGACAACCCCAACTGCCTCGATGACCTCATCACCGAGTCAGAGCAGGTCAGAGTCGACAACGAGGGTCTTCGGGTATCCTGTGTGTGTGCCTGTGAAGTGGATGTGGCATTGGCATGTGGTGTGTGTGCAGCTGCAGCAGTATGCCGCGATGACGAGCGATTTGATCAAGGCCAACGCTGAGGTCCTCGAGAAGAATCTCGCACGACAGGTGAGTGAGATCGCCGACACGGCAGACACGGGCGCACACACACACCTGTTCTGTGTATGTGTGTGGTCAGCAAGAGGTTGAGGAGGCCCAGAAGGCCGTCACGGAGAAGTGGACAGCCCTGCAAGCCAGAAAAGCTGAGGTCGGTGACCGCAGAAGACAGACAGACAGGCAGACAGCCATGTGTGTGTGTGTGTGTGTGTGTATAGGTTGAGGGGTTGTTGAAGGAGCAGGACGCCCTCATGCAGCGGTTCAACGCCCCCCAGATGGTATCCGCATTGGCTGAGGTACGTAGCTACACGCGCACAGACAAGCCTCGGCGCCTCACTCACCTGACTGACGTGTATGTGCCTGCCTGTCTGCCCGTCACACACAGGAGGCCCGCGCAGACTTCACTGCAGCCGAGGAGGTCAAGCGGGTAAGCAAGCACCAGGAGGCAGGCAGGCAGGCTGAGGGAGGCGTGTGTGTAAGATTGATATGTTGCCTTGTGTCTTGCGTGTTGGCTGGCTGGCTGCATCTGTCGATGGATCGATCACTGGCTGCAGGAGTTGTTCAGCGCTTCGATCGACCTGCACACCTTCAAGCGGGCGTACCTGCAGCATCGCAAGGACTTTCATCGCAAGATGGCCAAGAAGGAGAAGCTAGAGAGACAGCAACAGTAGTCAGTCATCAATCGACGAGTGATGATAGTGTGTGGTGTGATACATATAACCTGGCTGGCTGGCTGTCGCTGGCATCGCTGTCGGCTGCACCGCTTCCTCGGCCGATGACACTTAAGTCGGCATTGGAAGTAATGCAGGCGTCTTCGATGCCGGCCGCAGCCAGCTCTTCCAATGGAGGAGTTCTGAGTTCTGTGTCGGTTGGTTTTTGGCGTGTTCCATATATACAGACAGACCTCTACATGTGTTTGTGCGGTTTGGTAAAGAGAAGAGGCCTCCGTGTGCAAGTAAGTGTCTTTCCGTGTGTGGCAAGACGATGATTTAAACGATGAAGCACTCTTCGATGACTGACTGACTGAATGACGGAATTCACCCAGTCACGTACTTGCTGGTCGTATACAGACATACTGGGCCCGTCCGTATCAGTGAAGTCTGTTTGTCAGCCATGTCACTGAAGCATGCACTCACACCATACATAGAAAAGTCGATCACAGAGCTGACCAGGTAGGTCATTCGGTCGTCGATCTCATCGCATCGCGTCACTGACTGACACACATGGTCACTCCTCCCCCCCTTCTTCGCCGCCCCCTCCTCGCCTCCTCAACTCAGCCGCACCGACGGCAGCCACCTCTGTCGCCTCGCCCATCGAAGACACGGGGCCGTTCATCTGCCCACCACCGCCCGCCGCCTTCTTGCTTCTCCTCTGTGCCGCCCTCTCCTTGTCCTTCTGCCGCTTCAGCTCCCAGGCCCGCTGTTTCTCCTCGAAAATGATGAAGAGCACCACCTCCATGAGCAGACACACAAAGGCAAAGCAGGCCGACACGAGCGCCCGCGTGGTGATGCTCTCCACCTCCAAGTAGACGCACAGGTAGTAGCCAGCCAGGAAGGACCCCACCAGGCAAAGGATGAAGTTGCCGGCGAGGGCGAGGGAGCCCCGGTACTGCTGCACCGTCTCCCCACCCAACACACCGCCACCGCCACCGCCAGCACTCCCACTTGCAGTGACCTTGTGGATGGACCGCTGATAGGCCGCCTCCTCCCGCCTCCGTCGGAGTCTGTCCATCTCGCTGAGGTTCTCCTCCCCATCGCCCTCTGTCGACCGCCGCACCACACCTGCACCGTCCATCAGCTCGTGCAGCTTGACGTGGTGTCTGGCGGGGAGAGGCGCGTTGTGCTCCTCGACCAGCTGGATAAGATGGTCCAACTCCACTGTAGCAGGTGTATTCGGAGAGTGTGCCAGGCACTGCCGTGAGGCCGATGATGATTTGCGGAGGAAGGCCCGAATGGGCGGCGTCACCTCGATGAACAACTTCGCCATTGCTCGCTGCTCAATGCGTAGGGCCAAGCTGGTGGGAGATCATGCCATCCAGCACTGAGAAGCCTCGAAGTCCCTCCCCTCTCTCCTTCCTCCTCCTTCCGACTGGACTGCGAGCTTTTTGTTTGCGGCGGAGCGTCTCGGCGTGTGGCTCTCTTCCTTCCCCGCAGCTTACTTGCCTCGTCGGCCCGCCAGCCCACCTCCCTCGGCACCGCTGAAAACAGCACACAAGGGTCTGCCCCACAACCGTCGCCAGCGTCTGCACCCCTACCACCAACCATGGGAGATAAAGGTGCGTCTGCAGAGAACCACCACACTCCAGCACTCCACAGCAGCGGCAGCACGAAGTGAAAGGCCGCAATTTCACGTGTTGCTGTGTTTGTGCGGTGGGTGTGTTGTGTGTGTTGGTGTTGGTCAGGCAAGAAGCCCGAGAAGACCCCGTATTCGTTTCTGATCGATTTTGCGATGGGTGGTGTCTCTGCGGCCATCTCCAAGACGGCCGTGGCGCCCATAGAGCGCGTCAAGCTGCTGCTCCAGACACAGGACAGCAACCCCGACATCAAGTCAGGCAAAGTGGCCAGATACTCCGGCATCATCAACTGCTTCACGCGGTGAGTGAGTGACCAACCTACCACAACACACACACACACACACAACACAAGGCACACACGGCACGAGCGGAAGGAGAGAGGCTGTGAATCTATGGCTCTTGTCTGTGTGTTCCGTGGTTCGTGGTTTCTGATGCAGTGTGTCAGCTGAGCAGGGCGTTGCGTCGTTTTGGCGCGGCAACTTGGCCAACGTGATTCGGTATTTCCCGACGCAGGCCTTCAACTTCGCCTTTAAGGACACGTTCAAGAAGATGTTCCCCAAGTACGACCCCAAGACACAATTCTGGCAGTTCTTCGGCGCCAACCTGGCGAGCGGCGGGGCGGCCGGCGCCGCCTCACTCCTCATCGTCTACCCCCTCGACTACGCGCGGACGCGACTCGCCGCCGACGTGGGCAAGGGCGACGCCCGGGAGTTCACGGGGCTGGTGGACTGCCTCGTCAAGACGGCCAAGAACAGCGGCCCCATGTCGCTGTACCAGGGGTTCGGCGTGAGCGTCCAGGGCATCATCGTGTACCGGGGTGCGTACTTCGGCCTCTACGACTCGGCCAAGGGCATGATCTTCAAGGACGAAAAGAAGGCCAACGTCCTCTTCAAGTGGGCCGTCGCACAGGTATAGTCAGTCAGCCACTCACTCACTCACTCACTGAGGGAGGGAGGGAGGGAGGGAGGGGGAAGAAGCACAGCACATCGCAGCGCAGCGCAGCTCACTCCCTGTTTGTTTGTGTCCTTCCTCCCCCTCTCTGTGTTGTGTGTGTGTTGTTCACTCAGACTGTGACAGCGCTGGCAGGTGTGATCTCCTACCCGTTCGACACGGTCCGTCGTCGCATGATGATGATGGCTGGCAAGAAGGCGGGCGAGGCCAAGCAGTACTCGGGCACCATCGACTGCTGGCGCAAAATTGCAGCGGAGGAGGGCATGCCCGCCTTCTTCAAGGCAACCAACACAACCACACACACACACACCCAAACAGACCAGACGCACACACACACATGTACCTACCGTACCTCTATGTGTGTGTGTGTGTCTGTCGTGTGTGTAGGGTGCTGCTTCGAATGTGTTGCGAGGTGCTGGCGGTGCGTTCGTGCTGGTGCTCTACGACGAGCTCAAGAAACTCGTCGGATAAAGCACACCACACACATACACACACACACACACACAAACACACAAGCACACACCATCCGTGGGTCGGTCGGTCGGCAAGCTGCGGGGAAGAGGAGAGGGGCGGGGGCTGGTTATATGTATGTACCACTCACTCACCATCTTTTTGTCTCTGTCAGTCAGTCAGTCAACTTGCATTCGTTAGTCGGTTCACGGAGTGGGGGCGAAGTATATCTATCGTCCGTCTGTCCGTCTGTCTGTCTGGCTCCCCCGCTCCCTTGCTTGGTCGATCCATCACAATCGATGGGACAGGACAGACACTATCAGATCTATAGAGAGATTCATTCGTATTACGCGTGAGCGGATAATTGGATTGCATGTGTGTGTGTGTGGATGGATGGATGGACGGATGGATGGATTCTTTCTCTCTCCTCTGTGTTCGCGTCGGTGCGTCTGCGTGTGTGCTTGCACTGCACGAGTGTGTGAGTTTGTGTGAGAATGCCTATACGCACGGCCCTGCACGGCTTCCCTCGACCGCGCCTCCAATCAACCAGTGAGGCCTGAACGGTTTGTCACGTGGACTGGCTGTCGTCCCACCAGACGGCAGTCACGACACGTGACAGGCTGTTTGTTGTGTCGCTGGTTGACTGTGGGGTGGGTGGGGTCGACTGGCTGGGCTGACTTTGGCGGCGATTGACGGCGAGAGAATACTGAGAGACACCTACCCTACCTAGGGCAGAGAGAGCAGGCAGGGCTGTAGCTCGTGTTTGAACCCCTTCACTCACTTCATCGGCATGGCTGGCTGGATATTGCGGGCTCTTGCCGCTTTGCTTTGTGGCAGGCAGGCAGGCAGGCCACCCACCTCATGTGTGCGCAAGAAAGGTATTGACTGTTTTTCCACTACAGCTGGCTGGCCAGGCATTCTTTGACGCGATTGCGGGAGCCGGCCGGCCTGCCAGCCATCTACTTGACTGATTGGATTGCGAGTCTGGTTTATCAAGCCCTGGCCAGAAATGCTACCCCCTGCTACCTGCTGAGTTTCCTGAGTACGCTGACAGAGAGATGGGGGGGGAGACATCGAAGGGCTGGCTAACTTGCTCGTGGATGGATGGATGTCTTGTGTGCGTGGGCGTGTGAGTGTGGATGTGTGGATGTATCGGTCTGTGTGCGTGTGGACGAGAGCGACTAACCTACCTCCCTACCTGCCTCGTTGTGGTTTAAATCATGTCCTCTTGCCATGCCGTGGACAGACAGACCAACGGAACGAAACGAGCGCACTTTCACCTCACCAAGACACAAACACATCCACCATCCATCCACGAGTCGAGTCTCGCCACACACACTGTAGGTACAATCTCAGTCAGACACGAACATCAGCAGCGCTCGCTCACTGATGGTGCGGCTGCTGCATCATGGTCACGCCGTAGCCGCCCTCCCCCCTCTCCCCCCTCTCCCCCCTGTCATAGTCATCAAACCGGAACGGCGCTGCCGTCAGCCCCAGGCCGCCCGCCTCGTCCCCACGCACCCTCACACCGCCTACACCACCGCCGTCATTGAGGGACGGCAGGCGGCCGTAGATGTCATCGATGGTGGAGGGCCTGTCTCTGTCTGAGTCTGTGAGTGGCGGGAAGGCGCCGCCCTCATCCTCTTCAAGCAACGTCCGAATCAGCTCCCTGTTGCGCCTGCAACACACACGCACAGTGGGGTGGATCACAGGACACTGGTTGGTTGTGGTGTTGTGTAGGTCGACTGAGACTGACGCCTCGATGGTGTCTGGTTCGAAAGTGCATTCGGCCTCCTTTTGTTTCTCTGCCTCGAGCGCCTTCTGCAGCCGGTCGCGGCGGGAGCGGAACTCGGCTGACTCCTGTCGGTAAGACGGATGGGCACACCAGGCACACACAAATACACACACACATACGGATGCATCAAATGGGTGTGGTGTGTCCCTCGCTTACTGACCGTCTGGAAGGAGAATGGTCGTGGCACAGTGCAGCCCCCTCCGCCGTGGCCCTCGCGACGCCTCGCACCACCTGAACAAAGGGGATAGAGGATTTTGGGGCATGTGTGTGCTCGAGGTGTGATGGCGTGTCCACCGCGTGCGTACCGAAGACCTCTTCGTATCTGAGTTTCTTGTCTTCCTCCTGCCGCTTGGCCATGTCCTTGAGCTCCATGAAGCGACCGAAGCCACGAACCGACACACGACGCTCGGACCCTGCAAAACACACACACGTACATCCAATCTATCACATGATGCCTGCCTGCCTGAAAGGGGTTCACAGTGCGTGTGCGTGGCGTACCTTCTGTGGGCGGTGGCGGGCCGACTTTGGGCTTGAACGTGCACGCCTCCAGCTCAGCCGCCTCCCTACGTGGACACACAGACACACACACACACGGAGGGTGAGAGTGTCCCCCACAGAAGAGAACGGCACAGCACAGCAGGGCACATCACATCACATCGTCTGTCTCCCTACCTCCTTCGTCTTTCCTCTTGGATTCTTTGCTGTTTGATGTCCTCCTGCCGGCGGATCTCATCCATCAAACTCTACACACACACACACGCAGACAGACGACGTCAGATAGATGCGGTGCGATTGGTGCAGCGAATGCAATGCGTGTGTTCTGCTCACTCACCGTGGAGTTGGCGTACTTCGACCTCAGGCGTCCGTATTTGCCGGCACCGTCTGCGCTCATCAGGGAGGGCCGAAACTGGTCCTGCTGCTGCCGCTGCTCAGCTGCTGCCGCTGCCGCTGCTGCTGCTGCTGCTGCTGCCGCATGTGCGTGCCGGCTGGCAGGGGGGGCCCTGAAGGAAAAAAATGCAACAAGCAACAGTATGCCCCTTGTACAAGTGGCTTTTGCCCCCACTTGTTTTCGATGATGTCAGTGAGGGTCCTGTCGGCCGCAAGAGTGCGGCTGTGCTGACAAGAGAATGATGCAGAGCGTCCCCCCATCCCTCCGTCATGACTCACTCGTGTGGATGGATGGATGGATGGTGAGTGGCTCGGCTCACCAGGCTGATTTGCGGTTTGAAAGTGCAGTCGCTCGGGGGCTCGGCCGACATCGGCCTTCGGGGCACCTGAACACACGCACACGCCACGCCCCACAATATGTATCGGCGTGTCGGTTGTGAGTGGATGCATGCCGAGCCGAGTGTGAGCTGACTTGACCCGGGTACCCTTTGTGCGAGTCTCCTTATCCTCTCCTCGGGCGTCTCGGCTATGCGCTGAGGAGTGGAACCGACACACATGAATGAATGGGTGCGGCGTGTGAGGTGGTGAGGTGCGTCCATGGCCGTCCGTGCCATCCATACACACCTGCGGGTCATAGGCCACTAGTGTCTCCGATGCGGCCGACACTCGGGGCTGGAACGTGAACTGAGATGCCTGGAAGGAAGGAATGGATAGACAGATAGACAGATAGATGCATGAAATCCACCCACATCCTCCATCACATTACACTACATTAATTAGCATCTCTGGTCTGTCTGGGGCATGGCATGCAATGCATACGATTTCGCTCTGCATCTGGCTGAGCTTGGCCTGACGCAGCTGCGCAAACTGCTCCTGCCTGAAGGTCCACACAAGCCACTCAAAACAAGGACAAATTTTGGTTGGTCTGGCTGGCTGGCTGGCTGGCTGGCTGGTCTCTCTGTCTGCGTGTCGTGTCGGTACCGTACCTCCTGAGGAAGTTTTCATTTGTCGCCTGCGAGAGGACAGAGGGGGCCTCGAGGGAATCTGACAGACACAGAAGCGCACCGCTCCCTCGTAGTGTCTGTGTGTGTTTGTGTGAATGTGTGCTGCATGGGATGGCATCGGCATGTGGGTGCGCAGCGGACCTGGCGCCCCGGCAGCATTGTGGGGCATGCGGTGCAGCAGCTGGCACTCCTTGGCCTGGCTGGCCTTGATCAGACGCTCCTCCACCGGCATGCACAACTCGGTGTTCTGCCAAGTGGATTGGATGGATGGATGGATGGATAAAAAAACACCCACCCACCCGTTCTCTCCTTTGTTGAATGATTTTCTCGCTTCTGGGGTCGATGTCTGGGTGGAAGGTGTACACAGAACGTCGCTCACGCTCAACCTGACAGACACATACACAATGAATGACTCGATCCGATCCATGACCCGGTCCGTGATCGATTCGTCTACTGCTGGCCGGCTGGCGTACCTACCTGCAGTTTCTTCTCGTGCAACGCCTCCCGCTTCTGCTGCACGACCTCCGCCAGCTGACCACACGCACAGCACAGCAGACCAGAAGTATGGACGACTGACAGTATGTCTGTCTGTCCGTCCGTCCGTCCGTTGCTGCTATGCTTTTCCCACCCTTGTGTGGATCGGCGGGCGGCTGTACGCCACGGGATGGTCGCGAGTCTGTAGACCGACACACACATAGATATGCTCTGCACACTGACTATGGTTTCTGCCACTCACTCACCTCTGGCCTGAATGGGTGCTTCGTGAGCTGCTCCCGCTCCAGCAGCTCCTTGGCCTTCTGACGCACCATCAAACGCTTGTCTGCACACATACACACATGAACACACAGACACACACACAGACAGACGGACAGACAGACAGACAGACAGCCGAAGGGATGGGAGGCCTTACACACCAACACATACACACACGTTTGGCATGACGGATTGGGTGCTTTACCGGCTTCATGGTGCAGCCGATCGGCCAGTGGGAGCCTCTGATGCGGCCGCAACCTGACCGACAAACACACACAGAGAGACAGAAATTGCATATCATTGTGCAGCGTTCGTTGTGCCAGCTGCGTCCGTCCATCACGTCTGAGCGTATTGGGTCGACTTGGGGTTGACTTGGGGGTGGAATGAACACTGGGCCAGCTGCACAACAACCATGGATGATAGCGCGTTCTGTGGTCAGTCGGTGTGTCCGTACCTCCAGCTGGTCCTTCTCAGCCTTCATCCTATTCCGCCGCTGCATCGCCTGATGGTGCCTGATGCGTGGATGGATGGATGGACCAATAAATGAGCGAATGGACGATACCGACACACACACACAGTGAGGTGATGAGCAGCCTCCTCTCTCTCCCCATTCACCTCTTCAGCAGCGTGGCCACGTGTGCCTCGACCTCCTCGGGGGCCGCCTTGCGCACAACACGAACCGCGACATTATCGTCACTGTCGGGCGGGCCGCGGGGTGGTACCATCCCACCAGAAGACCCCCTGACCGACGACCATACATACAAAAGAAGCACACATGGAGGACAGCATCTGCGAATGGCGTGCATCTTTCTCACCGTTCTCTCCCCCTTGATGCCGTCCGCAGCCCCGGCGGCCCCGCGGGAGGTCGGCCCCTCACTGTACCCCTCACCCTAATGGAACTATCAAACTGTCCCGGCCCCCCCTGCACCTCCCGCATGGCCTCCTCCAGCAGCTCCTCCACCGATATGTTGAGCTCGCCAGCCAACTCTATAATGCTCTCCCCATCAGCAGAGCTCACCAGTTGCAACAGAGAAGGCGCCGGGGCGTCCATTGCTTGATGCCGGCGAGCAGCTGCCGGGACGGATTGAGGACGGTGGTGGGCTGCTGTTGCTGCTGGTGGTGGCGACGAGACCTCCTTCTCCTCTCCCCTGGTCGTGAGATGAGTTTCATCATCCACCCGGGCGTGCCCGTGGTCCTTCTGCGCCTCTTGCCTTTCGATGCGCTGCCGTCTGTCCTCGAGCAGCGTCTCGACGATGTCCTCCTTGGTGCGCCCCGAGTCGCTGCGGAAGGGAGAGGGAGAGGCCGGCTGGGGAGGGGAGCATCCGAACCGCTCTATCAGCTGCCGACGCCGCTCTTGCGAGAAACGCAGAAGCTCCTCCGGATCTAGACTCGACAACGCCGGGATGGAGGGACGACGGTCTGACACACAACCAATTACCAACACATTCATTGCAAATGCGGCGTGTCCTAAGTGTTTATTTCATTGAGCAGAAAGGAATGGATACCTGCAGGCAAGCTAAGCTTACCGGGTGATGACGATGGTGCATCGATGCGCGAGTACCGGCCCAATTCCGCCGCCCCTGCCTGCTGCAGATACCGCTCTGCATCATCCAGCTCTCGCTCTGCACTCGCCAACGGATCACTCATGCTCCACCTGGCCTAGCTACCGCATGAAAGAGCTATGTTGTGCTGCTGTCCTTTCCTTTTTGGAGCGAGCTTTCTTGCTCGAAGCTCGCAGCTGATGTCCTTTTTCCTTTCCCTCTCTTCTCCTCTCGCTGTGGTCGACAACAGAGCAGAACGCGTTCGTTCATCTGTCCATCAGATCCATATATGTGGAGATCTGGTCCGTGGCCAGGGTGTGTGGCTGCGGCTGCGGCGGTTGGCCTCCTTCTGTGGCACCTCGCCCATGCGCAGAAGCAGGCGCCCATCGAGTGGGACGACGTCGAGGTGGACAGCTCACCGTCAGTAGCCATTGAGGAGGGAAAACGTAAGCAGCTGGCATGGATGGACGGCTTCCACTTGTCTGGCTGGGATGGATGGTGGCGAGTCTGTGTGTGTGGTGCGTCCGTCCATTGTCAATCAGCGTTGAAGGGGTGCAGCTGCGACTTGAGTCCGTCGCTGTGCGATGCCAACTGCTGCTGCGACCCTGACTGCACAAGGGCCATCAGGGTACACACACATAACATACAGCTGGGGCAGACGTCATGGAGCCAAACAAACAGTCGGTGGTTTGTGTGCAGGATTCGTTCAGTGGCTGTGTGCGCGAGACGCTGCCAAAGGAGGAGCGGCAGTACTGCTATGCGAGAGAGCTCATCCACAAGGCCAACCGGCGGAGGAACTTCGATGTCGTCACGGTCTGCCAGGGGGGATGATGATCTGATCAGGAGGGCCCGTGTTGCGTTGCGTATGTGTGCCATTAATGCATTGCGTCTGTGTGCAGGACTCGATGTATGATGTGCTGTGCATCGAGATTGACAATGATCCATCCACGGGCGTCTTCTACACAAACGAAGAAAGGGTAGGTAGGGTAGGTGGCTGCGAAGCGAATGCGTGTGTGTATGTGTATGGGGTGGTCTCTGTTTGTTTCCTCCTCCAGCGCAGCACGACTGACCTCTACAGCATCTACAGCGACCAAAGTACGTCCATACGCGCCCGCGGCAAGGAATGCAATGCCCCCCCTCTCACTCACCACTCGTCTGTCTGCCTGTGTGTTTTTTGTATGTCAGATGTGAAGCGACTGTCCGATTCGGGTGCCGACCTGCCCTATTGGAGCTTCAAGGATCCAGACGCACCTTACAAAGTTAGCAAACGCGTGACGCAATACAGGTCGACACCCGCACCCACAAATGCACGTAGGTTGGGGAGCCTGTTGTGGTGGGCGTCAATGTTGGCGGCACCAACACATTCAAAGCCAGCTTCACACTGCCACAGGGGTATGCATGCCATCCGTATGCAAACCACCATCTCCCGCTCGCCCTCCTCCTCCCATCCCCTCTCTCTGCCTGTCTGTCTGTCGGTGTGTGTACCAGTTCCCTGTCAGGTGAATGCTCCGACGGTGGGGGTGTGCCAGTGGGTTTCCTGGCCTCACATGGCGGCCCCACTGACGGCGGCCGTCTCGAGACCGGGGGCCTGCTCTACAGCCGAGACGCACTCCCGCCCTCTGACTTCGCATCGCCCTCCTCGCCATCCTCGCCATTCCAGCGACACACATGCTGGAGATCATTCGTAAGCCAACCACGGCCGGGCCGGCTGTTCTGGTGGGGGCTCCTGCCTCCCTCCCTGAAAGTATGTGATGTGTTTCGACAGAGCCACATGGGTGAGGACGTGTGCAAGTCTGCGCTGGGCCCGTGGCTGAATGTCCGTCTGGCGCCGCTGCCTGCGTCTCCCCTCTATAATGCGACCGCATGGCCACAACTCACCGTGCGAAGCATCAAGGTGCGATGCAGACACACACGCGCCCGCCGTCATATAATGCATCATTGTCACTCATTGACGCATTCAGGAGCGTGACTTGAGCACGGGCGCTGAGCGTGTGTGGGAGCAGACAGAGGTGGACCAGTACGTCAGCGGCGGTGGACCAACCTGGGAGACATCAGGGTCGAATGGTACATAGACATACATAGCCGTGTCGGTACTCAAGAGAGAGGCCGTGTGCTCATCTGTCTGTTCCCCTCTGTCTGTGTGTGCGTCTGTCTGTATGTGTGCAGACACCGACGCCCTCTGCTCATGCACTGGTGTCGTGCTGGAGGTGATGAGAAAGGAGACAGACGTGAAGAGCAAACAGATAGACGAATTCCCCTCACTTATTCTGGTGGCTGCTGGCCTGGCCTGGCCTTGTGTGTTTTCTTGATCCAATCTGTCTGCCTGTCAGCAAGTGATAGTGATATACTACAACACTGCTCGAGGGCAGGCGATAGGGTGGGAGGCCAACCTTACGGTCGCCACCATCTCCGATGCCAACTGCCAGCCTAACGCACTCGGCGTCGTCTCGGCGGCCGTCCCACAAACATTCGCGGTTGCATTCTTCCCTACTGAAGACACGGTCAGCACAAAGACAGACAACAACGAGAAGACATAAAATGTATCATGTCTGTCTCCCTCATGTCATGTGTTGTGTTGTGTGATTGCTGACCAGACCGCCCCCGCGACTCCTCCATCTTTCCCCATCCAGCGATCCGGCAACCCAGGATACAGGCATGCACTGCACGCACATGCATCAACATAACAGCCATTTATCTCCTCCATGCGATGCGTGTGTGTCTATATGCGTCCTCTCGTAGGTTGGGATATCCGTTGCGTGCGGGCACCTTCACGACCGGCCCGTCGCTGAACAAGCAGGCGGTGAGCCTCCAGGTGGACGAGTACGGCACCGCGGGGGCGTTCCTGCTGGGCATCGGACCCAATGGCGAGTGCCTCGACACCAGCACCCCGCAGCAGGAGCTCTGGAGCAACAGACGGGTTCGTCAAGGGCCGGGGGCTCGCACATTCCGACGGACGGACATATGGCTGGCTTGTGTTGTGTAGGTGATAGCCTTTGGCGAGAACGCGGCATACAGCTGCCGACTGAGCCTCAACGAACAGGTAAGGTAACTAACGGACAGAAACAGAAAGAGAGAGCCGTCACCCGCCCGCCAATGGCATGGGGCTGCGCCCCATGTACTTACACGCAGGAGCTATCGAGCTTGTGTTCGGGGGACAGCAGCCTTGCTGGAAGGTATCGACTGCTGAAGCCTTCATTCGACGCCGTGGTGGGTGAGCGAGGGAGGGAGTGGTCGAGTCGGCAGATACACACTTGCAGTGCACCCGCCTGCCTTCCTAGGGTTACTTTGGCAACGCTGATTGGGAGAACAAAGCCGACTGGCTTGCCGTGTCCATCGAGGAGGCCACATCCACCATGGCGTACAATGACGACACAGGCAAGGAAGGCAAAGCAAGGGGAACAGGACAAAGGAAGCAGCAGCTGGGTGGGGTGGACATCCCTGTGTCTCCATCCATCCCAGGTGTGTGTGACGGCTCCGTGACGATTCTTGAGCTGGACTTCCTCTATGCGGCATTTGGTGAGTTCGCTGCCCCCCAATTCCGCATTGTCGCCGCCAAAGCCACACAGAGAACAGGGTACAAACAAAGCCGGCCGCGGGAACCAACGCGGGCGCCAGTGTTTTGTGTGTGCGTGTCTCTTTGTGGGTGCAGGAGGCTCCGTTATGAGTCTGCGTACGACCCCTCCCTCAAGCAGTCGTTTGTCCTCTCTGTCATCGTCACATTTGCAAGGGTGCGTGCACCGGCGGCCATATCATGTGCTGGCTGATCATTTGGTCACATGTCTGACAGGTGCCTGACAAGGAGCTCAAAAGGTCCGTCCCGCCCCGCCCGCCCCTGCTGCCAAGCCTCCCAGACGTGAGACAACGCACATAGACACATACATACATACGAGCAGCACATCCGCCCACCCCCTCTGCTGCTGTCTTGGGTCGTGCGTGTGCGCCAGGATGTGTTCTACCCCTTCGGCGTCAGTGGTGCGCTAGGCATGGATGGATATGGGATGAGAACAATGAGACTGTGGATCTGTGCGTGCATTGTCTTCGTCGCTGCGTGGACAATGGACTTTTGAACGTAACATGCGCACACTCGTCGAGACTTGGGGGGGGGG